AATTTCACCACAAAAATGCCGATATTTCGTGAACAATTCGTCAAAACGTTCTACAAAGTAATAGCACACCAAACGGGAACAATCCGCACGTTTCGGTATATTACTGTCTATGTAGTGTAGAAACTGTGGGAGGAGTTAGGGTGTTAAATTTGGCTATAATAATAAGAATATACCGTATATGTGAGATAACAGTAAGTGGTCTTGCCATGCAAGAACACTTAATTATATATTTATTGCACCACAGTGGTGGTGGGAGTCACTATACATGGTTTTTATAATTAAACACCAAGATTGGCTAAGGATTACATGTGGTGCAACACACTAGAGGCTGTTTCTTGATTTAAATTGAATTTATTGTTGCACATTCACTGAGGATATACTGTAGTGAGCACTTTTTATTGGGTACATAAGAATACTAGTTGGCACAGCATATATATTTTAAAGTCCTTAATATTGTTAGCTGCTAAGGTAATGTGTACATTATTAAAATGAAAAGCTTTTGCTGTCTTACAGTCGGAATTTATCGATGCTCTCATTGCGTTAATTGTGCACAGATGTTAAAGCCCAACTCCGGACATTTGCTTAAAGTGGTTGTAAACGCAAAACTATAAAGCTGCATGATCTATTCGAATATAGGGTTCTTAAAGCAATAGTGTTTTTTTTTAATAAAAAATCTTTAAATACCCTTTTAATGGAGTACTATAGTGCGGTCATGCTAATTTTTTTTTTTTTTTTTTTTTTAACTTCGCTTTCCCGAGCACAGGGACTAGTTAGCAAGGGGCTGCTAATTCTCAGCAGAGGAAGGAGCAGCTGCAGAGGAATCCTCACTCCATCAAGGCAGGTGGGGTGGAGAAGGGGATGCAGCTTTCAACAGACGGGAACTTACAGACACGCTGTGCTATTGTAAAGCATGTCTGTACAGACAACGGCATGACGAAAGACATAAAGGGACCACGGTATCATGGATTGGTAGCCATGATTAGCATGGTCAGTTTGCTCTCAGGAAGAGGCACAGGCAAGATCAACCAGGTATTATACCACACAGGAAAGCGTACATAACATTGCACTATTACAAAGCATATTACCTTGCTTTAAAAGACAGTAGCATCATTTTTAAGGTTTACAAACACTTTAAATAGTTCCCTATAAAGTTAAAAGTAGTTCTGGCTGCAGTGCACATCTCCTATGGTACTGTCCTCCCACAGTACAACCAATTAAGGGGGTCATTCAACCCAGAAGACTGAGGACATGAGGTGAGTGCAGGGCAGGTCATGTGCTTGCCCCCTGAGAGTGGGTCATAACTGCGTCCTGCAATCTCACTTTAATGATGCAGGGAGCCAGGTAATCATGTCAGCACTGCTCTTACTGCATCATTCAGGACTACCCACAGCTAAGAGAGGATATAAAAAGAAAGAGGACCGTGCAATTCACATACCAGACTTAAAGACATCTGAAAAATGCAATCTAGGGCACACAGAAGGGAAAGCACTAGGGGGGGTGGGAGGGTGCAATCTGGAGTTGGGCTTTAAACAAATCTACTGTATATGCTCATATCAATCAATGGCGGTTTACTTTCCAAATGTTTATTTTAGGGGTGTACTGAAATGTTTCGGCCGAAAACACCCCTATCGGCCATTGGTCGATATGGAAATAAGTACTGAAACAGGTGCCAAAACAACCCCGCCCCCTCGCAGCTGCTGCCCTTCGGTAGTTTCTCAGCCTTACCTGAGAAACCAACGAACGATCCCGGCACTGGACAGAGAGATAAGTGAAGGAAAGATGGCTTCCTCTCATCTCTATGCCCTTGGAGGACCAGAGCCATGTCACTTCCGGTGCCTTGGAAAATAGGCCATTTTTTTTTTTTAAAGCACTAGAGCAGTGCTTTTTTTGATCTAATGCTTTACACTGTAGAGAGATGTGAGATCTCATTGATCCCATATCTCTTCATAAAGAGGACCTGTTACTAATTATTTCTATCACAGGGGATGCATGCATTCCTTGTGAAAGAAATAAAAGTGATCACAATTTTTTTTTAAAGGGGCAGTGTAAAAAAAACAATTTTTATTAATTTAAAAAAAAGTACTGTAGTTTGACGCCATTCCACAAGCGTGCACAATTTTAAAGCATGACATGTTGAGTATCTATTTACTCGCCGTAACATCATCTTTCATATTTTACAAAAAAATGGGCTATATGGGTTTTTTTAAATCATTAAAGTGCATTTTTTTTTACCAAACAATATATATTAATTTTTAAAAAAACCGTCCATTTTGGTTTTCGGCCAAGTGCATCCTGAATTTTCGGTTTCGGCACCAGAATTTTCATTTCGATGCACCACTAGTTTATTTACTTCAAAGTAAAGGTACAAAGGTAAAGTAGCATAAATAGCATAAAGTGAAAAAGGGTTAGAACCTATACCAGATTTTTTTTATTCCAAATCTGTTGTCATTAGGATTCATACCTAGAAAAAAGTACTGACTAAAGATTTACTTTATCTCTTGAAATTGTTAAATGAACCATCTAGAGTTATTTTTACAGCATGAAGGAGATCCCATTGTTATCAGTTTAAGAATCCAAAAGTTGATACTTGAGATAAAGTGGTTGAAAGACAAATAGGCTGATTGCTTTGCAAGGGAAGTTTGCTTTAGCTTAGTAACTGTGGTAAACATTCACTTTGCAAAGATTACCCAATAATGTTCAAGCGAAAAAAAAAAAAACCAAAAAAACAGTATTTCTGCTTGCACACGATTGGATGATGGAAATCAGCAGTGCTTCAAGTGGAAGAAGACAAGAGAAGAGAAAGAAAAGGGGTAGATGAGACTATGGAAAGAGGTAGGGGTGGTAAGAGGACAGGCTGGGGTTCTCTGTGGGGTCAAGCTAATCAGATTGCATGCTCTCAAGTGGAATTTTTTTGTATAGGATTGCAGGGAATTTATATTTCCGCATCAGATAGGGTGCATTAACCATCTGGCTATCCAAAACTGACTCATGTGACCCAAGTGGAACACTAGGATCTGTCTTGGAACTGTCTGATATGTCTGACCACTTTCTGTAACCAACGTTGGATATGACCAATCTTGTTCCCCATTCAGTTTTACCTGAGAAAATGAAACAAGGAATAAAACTTGTCACCAGCGCTACGTCCACTGTTTTTCCCTATCAGCAAAGGTTTAAAAAAAAAAAATTTAAAAAAAAAGGTTACGTGATTGTCAAGGGACCTTGATGAGTTTGGAATCCAGCTCATGTAGTATTACCAAATCCACTTAGCTACTCAAAAGGGGCTGCTCTAACCACTAATTACTTTGTTGCTACTAAGGATTGGTGGAGATTTACTAAAACTTATGCACACAAAATCTGGTACAGCTGTGCATAGTAACCAACAAAATCTGGTAGAGCTGTGCATAGTAACCAATCAACTTCTAGGTTTTATTGTCAAAGCTTAATTGAACAAGCTGAAGTTGGCAGCTGATTGGTTACTATGCACAGCTACAGCAGATTCTCTGTGTACCAGTTTTAGTAAATCTCACCCACTGTGTCATTTTTAAGACCCCCATAGGCTGATAGCCAGCTTGCATACTCATTTCTGATCAGTGGTAATACTACATGAGCTGGATTCCAAACTCATCAAGGTCCCTTGACAATCACGTAACCTTTTTTTTTTTTAAACCTTTGCTGATAGGGAAAAACAGTGGACGTAGCGCTGGTGACCAGTTTTATTCCTTGTTTCATTTTCTCAGGTAAAACTGAATGGGAAACAAGATTGGTCATATCCAAAGTTGGTTACAGCCCTGAAGCCTGCACCATTGTAAAGCAAGTCATAAAATTATTATTATTATACAGTATTTATATAGCGCCAACAGTTCGCTCAGCGCTGTACATTACAATGGGGGACAATACATGAGACAGTACAATAACAATACAGTGCGATACACGAGGGGTTCGAGGGCCCTGCTCCTTGGAGCTTAAATGGCAGCTCCCATATTTGTAATCCCACAGGTTCACTTTAATGTATGAGACTTTAATGTATGAGACCTTTGGAAAAAGAAATATCATTTTGAGTGAGATAACAGTAGGAAAACACTAGTTATTTGTAAGCAAATCATATGGATAAATTTAAAATCGTAACCATTAATTTAAAAAGAAGACAATTCACTAACTAAAACAGCGAAACGGTTTATTTCTAATTAAAAAATAAAAAAAAATATCTATTTTCTTTTTGAAACAATCTAGAAAACAGAAAAGCATACAAAATAATATTATATAAAATAAGAAAACATCTTTAATAACAGTAACACTCCTCAACTTCTTCCAGTGTAAGTGCTTTTCGTCTCCATCTATCCCTCCATTTAGTAACACAGAAGCCCTTCTAGTCCTTTAAAACTACTTCTCATCCAGCGTATGTATATAAAAGTATTACACCTCCTGTATATAAAAGTATTAGTATGTCTTCTCAGCTTTCTGCTCCAGTTGGCTAACCACAGAATTGTGCTCGGTTTGCTGTACACCGGGCTTTCTAGATGGGATTTTGACAACACTGAACCAGAAGAGCTTTGAGCTGGTCGCTTCATAGCGCTGCAGAGCAGATCGGGGAACGGATGTGCCCAGAAGTTTTCCCACTCACCATCCTGACATTAACTGTTGTGGTCCCAGGCTCCCAGAATTAGCAGGAGGGCCTGGGAACCACCAGGAGGGGAAGGCAGCACCCGATGGTCCTGCAAAAGGGATCGGCCGGCTTCAGATCCACCGAGATCCCATTTATCTAAAAGCCAACAGCCCGATAATAAAAAAAATAGAACAGGCTCAGAGCTGCTACTGCAGTCTTGAACTCATTTTAATTGGTTCACTCTTTCAATGAGCCATGCACATCGAGAGAGAACTAGTTGAACAAGATAAAATTAAGGAAATTAGCTTGTTTTCCAAACTTAAGACCATACAACTCCAGTATAGGTTTAACCATCAAAGTTGTTACATGAAAATCTTTCCCCTGTGTTAGTGCAATCTCACACACTGCACATCTGGTGCCCCATCATCACTTTGGCCCAAGATAGGTCCTCTTTCTTTGCTTCTACTAATTGAATCTCTCTTCCTGAGCACTCCAAATCCACATCCTTAAATGAAGCTTTGTGGAATAAGACAAATTCCTCTTCCCCGGAGGTAACTTGCAGTCCTCGAATCTTGCACATATTGCTAACCCTGGAGGGGCTATCAACTGCTAGGAGGCAGGTAAGATTACCAAGTGGGAAACGGCAATTTCGGCTGCTGTACGCATTGGTGTAAATACGTATTGCTTGGTTGCGGCAATCAGGCAGATGGCGGTAGAAAGCACAGGCTTTTAGGCAGTCAAGTTTGCAGACCAGACGAAAGAGCCTCACCCAGTTCTTCTCTAGGTAGGACCTATTTATATCAAGAGCCAAGCGAATTTCAGGAGAATTTAGAATAATATGGGGAAGTTGCAAAGCCCTGTGCATGGCATCCATATTTCCTGTGGTACACAAGCAAGATAACATAATATATTACAACCAAATTTTAATTACCAATTGCAGGCAGGTGTACGAATAAAGCAATTTAGGCAACAACAATCATTGGGTTACAAACACTACTCAGCAAAGAATCATCTTGTTATGAAATCCAGTTCTCTGTATGTCATACACAGCAAGGTGCCTACAGTTGGTGTTTTTGGAAATTCCTTTTTACAAAAAGGTAAACAAGAGGGGCTCCCAGATCACCAATTTACCTTCAAAAAAAGGAGTGAGAAACTGGTGCATAAAAGCTCTATTAAAGCTCACAATGCTCAGACAATAAAACCGTGATCAGGTGGGCTGCACTCCCTGTCTGTATGCAATTGAAGATGTTATTTTCAGTTCTGACTTGGGTATACCTTTAATTACTGCTAAGAAGGGAGCCTAATCCGCATGTTTAATTAAATAAAAAAAGAACCTTTGCACTTGTGCATTTTTTACGTTCAAAAGCTTTAGATTAAAAAGGAACTGGAATGAGATCAGTGGACAATAACTGAGATACTAACATTGAAAGTGATTGTAAATGCGTAATTAAAAACAAAAGAAAACAAAAAAAACAAAACATGTTCTACTTCCTTGCTCTGTGCAATGGTTATGAGCAGCTCCAATCCTCCTCTTCTCAGGTCCCCCACCGGCACTCCTGGCTCCTTCTCCCTGCTAAGTGCTCCCATAGCAAGCCACTTGATATAGGGGAAATCTTGTGTGCTCACTCCCGAGACACGCTCTGTGTGTCCATTGACACACAGTGCGCGACTCTGCCTCATTCTCCACTCCCTCCTTACTTGCTGTGATTGACAGCAACAGGAGCCTCCCGCTGCTGTCTCTGAGCCAAGAGAGCCTCCCACTCTCATGCACAGCGCTTGATCGAGATCGGGCTCAAGTAAGTATGGGGGGGGGGTGTAACTGCATTATGTTCTGCCTTTAAAACTACTCGAATCTTATCCAAGGTATGTAACAATGATCCTAGCACAGGAGAAAACCTGAAATTTGACAAAGTGGAAAACAATCTGTCTGTCCGTTTTCTCGTCCAGTACTGGTAAAATCAACCCGTCCCTGGATGGGAAAAAAAACAAACAAACAGTTATTCTTGCAAAATTCTTTAAAAATGTGTCCCTGTGTCCCTGAGACAATTGCATAGGGCTTCTGGATGCTATCGGTGATGACCTGCATTTTTCCACATTGGAGAATTATTGTTTTTATGTTCCCTGTTCACACCACAACACGTTTGATTTGTATTGTGCTGCAGTGTGGAAAAAAGTAGTAAAGCTCTGAACTTTTATTTTTTAAAAGTGCTGGTTGTTCTTGCCAGAAATGCAGTGTCCTTGTCACTTTCTGTAAACTGAAAAAACAACTTTTCTCATCAGCCCTAATGTAATAGAGATGAACAAAGGTAGACATATTGAAGTCCAGCATTCTTGACAACCATGTCTACTACCACAGGTACACTGGAGAAGAGAGTGTAGTCATGAAGGAAGAGAAAGTGTATTATTTGCAGAAATACCAGGTAAAAATAAAGAGATAAAAAGTCTGAAAAAAGAAAACTAGTGCACTAATCACATCTAAGGGCTGGTAAGCTGTAAAAAAATTTAATTTTTTGTTTGTGTGGGGGTTATACAGTCAGGTCCATAAAATATTGGGACATTGACACAATTCTAACATTTTTGGCTCTATACACCACCACAATGGATTTGAAATGAAACGAACAAGATGTGCTTTAACTGCAGACTGTCAGCTTTAATTTGAGGGTATTTACATCCAAATCAGGTGAACGGTGTGTAGGAATTACAACAGTTTGCATATGTGCCTCCCACTTGTTAAGGGACCAAAAGTAATGGGACAATTGGCTTCTCAGCTGTTCCATGGCCAGGTGTGTGTTATTCCCTCATTATCCCAATTACAATGAGCAGATAAAAGGTCCAGAGTTCATTTCAAGTGTGCTATTTGCATTTGGAATCTGTTGCTGTCAACTCTCAAGATGAGATCCAAAGAGCTGTCACTATCAGTGAAGCAAGCCATCATTAGGCTGAAAAAAACAAAACAAACCCATCAGAGAGATAGCAAAAACATTAGGCGTGGCCAAAACAATTGTTTGGAACATTCTTAAAAAGAAGGAACACACCGGTCAGCTCAGCAACACCAAAAGACCCGGAAGACCACGGAAAACAACTGAGGTGGATGACCAAAGAATTCTTTCCCTGGTGAAGAAAACACCCTTCACAGCAGTTGGCCAGATCAAGAACACTCTTCAGGAGGTAGGTGTATGTGTGTCAAAGTCAACAATCAAGAGAAGACTTCACCAGAGTGAATACAGAGGGTTCACCACAAGATGTAAACCATTGGTGAGCCTGAAAAACAGGAAGGCCAGATTAGAGTTTGCCAAACGACATCTAAAAAAGCCTTCACAGTTCTGGAACAACATCCTATGGACAGATGAGACCAAGATCAACTTGTACCAGAGTGATGGGGAAGAGAAGAGTATGGAGAAGGAAAGGAACTGCTCATGATCCTAAGCATACCCACCTCATCAGTGAAGCATGGTGGTGGTAGGGTCATGGGCGTGGGCATGTATGGCTGCCAATGGAACTGGTTCTCTTGTATTTATTGATGATGTGACTGCTGACAAAAGCAGCAGGATGAATTCTGAAGTGTTTCGGGCAATATTATCTTCTCATATTCAGCCAAATGCTTCAGAACTCATTGGACGCCGCTTCACAGTGCAGATGGACAATGACCCAAAGCATACTGCAAAAGCAACCAAAGAGTTTTTTTTTAAGGGAAAGAAGTGGAATGTTATGCAATGGCCAAGTCAATCACCTGACCTGAATCCGATTGAGCATGCATTTCACTTGCTGAAGACAAAACTGAAGGGAAAATGCCCCAAGAACAAGCAGGAACTGAAGACAGTTGCAGTAGAGGCCTGGCAGAGCATCACCGGGGATGAAACCCAGCGTCTGGTGATGTCTATGCGTTCCACACTTCAGGCTGTAATTGACTGCAAAGGATTTGCAACCAAGTATTAAAAAGTGAAAGCTTGATTTATGATTATTATTCTGTCCCATTACTTTTGGTCCCTTAACAAGTGGGCGGCAAATATGCAAACTGTTGTAATTCCTACACCGTTCACCTGATTTGATGTAAATACCCTCAAATTAAAGCTGACAGTCTGCAGTTAAAGCACATCTTGCTCGTTTCATTTCAAATCCATTGTGGTGGTGTATAGAGCCAAAAATGTTAGAATTGTGTCCATGTCCCAATATTTATGGATCTGACTGTATATGTGCAGAATCATACGTTCAAACTTGTTATTGGAGGAGAAACTTCTTAATACCATTTGTTTATTTTAAGTGGTTGTAAAGGCTCAGGGTTCTTTACCTTCTTGCATTCTATGCATGAAAGTGGAAAAAAAGCTTATGTGTGCAGCAGCCTCCCCAAAAAACTTACCTGAGACTCATCGCGATCCAGAGATTCTCAAGAGCCTCAGCTCTCCAGGGAATCTCCCTCCTCATTTGCTGTGACAGCAGAAAGAGCCAATGGCTTCCCCTACTGTCTATCACATCCAGTGAGCCAATGAGGAGAGAGGGGGCAGGGCTGAGCCACGGCTCTGTGTGTGAATGGACACAAAAAGCAGCGGCTCGGGAGTGAGCCTGCTTGGGTGCCCCATAGCAAGCTACTTGCTCTAGGGGCACTCGGCAGGAGGGGTCAGAAGTGCAGTCAGGGGACCCGAGAAGAGGAGGAGGAGGGCAGGGCAGCTCTGTGCAAAACCACTGCACAGAGCAGGTAAGTTTCCTTTAATATCACTTTCACATCAAGATATTTGTATGTGCAAAGAACATGCTGCCATCAGGTTGTTTGGGAGTTCAACTATTGCATCAAAAAACAGGGGTTCTTAGACCAAACACAGGACATCTTTAAGGCTCTGTTCAGATGCGATGGTGCATTCCTCCACTGCGTGAAATCACTTGTTACACTGTGTTGTGCACTCCAGAGCTAATATTTCTTAATGGCACCCCTATGCACCTTGCCATTGCTCATGCAGGGAATTGTACCACAATGCATGGTATCTTATTGCAATGCATGGTGCTGTTATGTGATTTATAAAAAAGGGTCATGCATTTGTTTAGCCTATTTGCCTATTAAGAAAGAAAAAAAAAAAAGGGGCTTCCATCCAGCAACGCACACACGCATCACACAGAGGCAAGCCCAGGTCCCATGGTGTTTGCTTTACTTTTATTTTATATTTCAGTTGTTAATCTTTTGTTAGTTAGTCACTGTTATATCATAAAAATCCTTTTATGAAAGCGTTTTACCAGGATAATTGGAAATGTAATTTCTGAGCATTCCACTCAAACTCCTACTATACAAACGAAAAAGAATTCAGGAAACGAGTATTTCAAATTTGGAGTATGCTAAGCAAATGTAAAAATAGATGGACAATGGATGCTTGTAAGATAGATTTTGGGGATGGGGTCAACCTATTTCTTCCTGCCTTTGATGAAGAGAATTCATATACCGTATGAAATATAGTAAAAAGTATAAAATATTTTCAATAACTTGAAAAATTACTTTACCCACTTGCCCCCCCCCCCCCCCCCCGCTCCTGACCAGGCCACTTTTTGCGATATGGCACTGCGTTACTTTTTAACTGACAATTGTGTGGTCATGCAATGATGTACATAAATTAAATTTACGTGATTTTTTTCCCCCACAAATAGAGCTGTCTTTCGGTGGTATTTTATCACCTCTGCTGTTCTAATTGTTTTGCGCTATAAACAAAAAAAGACCATCAATTTTGAAAAAAACAAAACAATATTTTTTACTTTTTGCTATAAAATGTATCCAATAAAAATGTTTTAAAAAATCTAATTTCTTCATAAATTTAGGTCAAAATATGTTCCGCTACATGTCTTTAATTTTTATGTTTATAATAATTTTTTTTTTTTTTTTACTAGTAATGGCGGTGATCAGTGACTTATAGCAGGACTGCGGCAGACATTCTGACACTAGGTGGGAGAATGTAATAGAGATACATAGTAGCATGTCCATGCTGACAGAAGGGAGACCTGTGTTGTTTACACACGTCTCTCCCCTGTCAGCTTTGTCCAATGATCGCTGAGTGCCGGCCAGGAATCGCCAGCCGGGACACAGTGATTGACATCCCTAGCCGCCAATAGCGGCGCGGGAAGGGCGGCACGCGCCCCTTACCCAGAAATGCAAATCTCTCACACACACACACACACATATGCATATACACATACATATATACACACACACACACACGATTTTATACAGCCCTGATGCCCTGTAGCAGTACTTCTGCTATAGGGCTGAGGGCAAGTGGTTAAAGCAAAATGGACCTGTCCTCCAACCTGTGTAACCTTTTGCTGGCCATACATTATACAATTTCTTTGTTCAGTTTCCTTTAGATTTATATGGTTCTGGTAAATCTAAAGGAAAATTGTACAAGATAATTGTGTAATGTATGTCCAGCCTAACTACTGTTAGTAGTAGAGGAATAGTCATGGTTGTCTTTATTATTTTCTCTGAGCCTGGGAAGGAATCTGCTCCTAATGCACAGGCTGTATAAAGGTCTTGGATTTCCTCCAAATCCAGATTATGCACCCTTCATCAGTCAATTGGCATATGGTACAACCTTGGTGACACATAGAGGCTATGCTACTTGACAGTTCAATGACAGGGAGATGGATTTAGAGACAGGAGAGGGCTACTTCTGCTTCCTGCAGAGAAGTTGAGAACCTTTATGTTTACTAGCCCTGGGATGTGGAGTCCTTGTTATGCTCAAAAAAAAAAAAAAAATGACTGGGGTCAAGTATAGATAAACACCAGTAATGTTAATCTGAGCAGTTTGTTGGAAAGGCTAACCACTTTAATGCAAACCTGTAGTGACCATCTAAACCTCTTCAGACAACCAAACCACCACATGCCTGTATATATGTTTTCTTCAAAGTATCCAAGTAACCCTGAGACCAGGGGCACTCTATTCCAGACATACCATCTAGAGAGCTGTAGATTGACCTTGGCCCCCCTGCCACTTACTACTGGTCAATTAATGTGCTAGGTGGTCTCTACTCAGGAAGAAAAGGACAAAGTGCCAGCTTCCTAACCGAAGATGGTATTTACAGCACATAACAATTTGCTCTCAGTTTTGGGGCTATCAGGACACACTTGAAAAGGTCTTGATAGCATTTGTTTTTGATTTCCATAGACCATGGACAGAAACCACAGGTACCAACAATACACTGCAATGTCAGTGAGGCTAGACTGGTTTCTGATATGTAAAAAACATTTTGCGCTGCTACTAGAAAAGATGGGACTATTGTGACAGCAGCACACACCTGGCTATACCACTAGCAAAAAAAAACAACAACAGAGAATTGATGTTGTGCTAATCACAATAATGCCACAGATATTCCAAAACAAATAATGAGATGAGAAGACAATAGATAATACACCATAACATAATCAGTAAATGGAAGGAATATGGGAGTGAAGGGAAAGGTGAAATCATAAAGGTCCAAAATGAGGACCAAATTGTGTAACAGACAATAAACCGTGACTGTGGGCAAAACGCACGGAAATGATCAGGGAAAAATAAAATATTAACTAAATCTCTGTAATAGTGAGACATATGAGTCCATCAAAACATAAATGAAATAATGTGAATACAACTGATAAGAAAGTGGAGCAAAATGTGAAAAATACAAAATGAAGTGCTTAATATTAAAAGTGGACAAACCACTTATCACAGGAGCATGACAATAACAACGCACAGTGAGGCCAAAAATTGACCATGTGACTAAAGAGTCATAACACAATGTGCATCAAAAGGCCATGTGACATAAAACGACTAATAAGTCACCATATAAATACCATAAATAAATGTGGCAAACATATATATAGTGCAACTAGTATAAAGCAGAAAATGGTGATATAAACGCACAGTGAAACCAAATGAATGTATTACTGTGCACCGTAAAATACAATAACACATGTAAGAAGAAATAAATAATATGTGACAAAAAAAATCATAAATGCGACAAAGTCCATGTGCAAAAACATCCCACAAAATCGCATAAAAAAAAAAAAAAAAAACCACAACGTGGATAGGTAAATGATTGTTGAATCCCACATCGGCTAAATTGCCTCCTCACTTCCGCGCCCAGACCCCAAGGGGCCAAAAGGCTTTCAGGACACTCACTGCAGGGGCCCTTTAAGTGGAATCCCAAACGGCGATGTAGGAATGATATCCCCCTCACTGGTGGACCATACTGTTCAGCGGTGGTAATATATCTTTCACCTTTGGACACGGAAATCCGCCAACGCACAGGACTCCTGCCAGGGGTCTGTTGGACCAGAAAAAACTGCCAGCTCACAGCACTCCCAGGGAGACAAGAAAAAGTGCTTCCATAGTGTAATATTGTAAATGAATCAAGTTTATTGTAAAGACAAATGCGCACTTACGTGGGAACAGATCAAACAAGGCATCAATCACATGTGCTGATATGGGTGTACTGGGTGTGCCTATATGGCTGTGGCCGTTAGTGTCGGAAACTACGTCACCACATTCCGCTCTCCGACCTACGCGTTACATCACTGTCACGTGACTTCATCAGGGACTCATTATTGTCTTTACAATAAATTTGATTTATTTACAATATTGCACTATGGAAGCACTTTTTCTTGTCTCCCTGGGAGTGCTGTGAGCTGGCAGGCAGTTTTTTTTCTGGTCCAACGAACCCCTGGCAGGAGTTCTGTGCGCTGGTGGATTTCCGTGTCCAAAAGGTGAAAGATATATTACCACCGCTGAACAGTATGGTCCACCAGTGAGGGGGATATCATCCCTACATTGCCGTTTGGATTTTCACTTAAAGGGCCCCTGCAGTGAGTATCCTAAAAGCCTTTTGACCCCTTGGGGTCTGGGCGCAGAGTTGAGGAGGCAATTTAGCGATGTGGGATTCAACAATCATTTACCTATCCACTTTGTGGTTTTTTTTTTTGATGCATTTTTGTTGGATGTTTTTGCACATGGACTTTATGTCGCATTTATGATTTTTTTTAGTCACGTTATTTATTTCTTCATTGTGTTATTGTATTTTACGGTGCACAGTAATACATTCATTTGGTTTCACTGTGCGTTTGTATCACCATTTTCTGTTTTATACTAGTCGCACTCTATATATGTTTGCCACATTTATTTATGGTATTTATATGGTCACTTATTAGTCGTTTTATGTCACATGGCCTTTTGGTGCACGTTGTGTTATGACTCTTTAGTCGCATGGTCACAATTTTTGGCCTCACTGTGCGTTGTTATTGTCATTCTTCTGTGGTAAGTGGTTTGTCCACTTTTAATATTAAGCACTTCATTTTGTATTTTTCACATTTTGCTCCACTTTCTCATCAGTTGTATTCACGTTATTTTATTTATGTTATGATGGACTCATATGTCTCACTATTACTGTGATTTAGTTAATATTTTATTTCTCCCTGATCATTTCCATGTGTTTTGCCCACGGTCACGATTTATTGTCCGTTACACCTTTTGGACCTTTATGATTTCACCTTTCCCTTCATTCCCATATTCCTTCCATTTACTGATTATGTTATGGTGTATTATCTATTGTCTTCTCATCTCATTATTTGTTTTGGAATGTCTGTGGCATTATTGTGATTAGCGCAATATCAATTCTCTGTTTGTTGTAGACTGGTTTCTGGTAATCTGAAATCCTTACCCAAATCATACAGAAGAAGAAGTGCGTGAAATTCAGTTTGCCTAGGGAATCTTCCACCTCTGCTGTAACAATCCATCAGCCCGGCAAAGCTTTCCCGCACCTGTGTTGAATGAAGGGTTTCATTATAATCTTCCAGCGGCAGGTCCCTCACCAGGTAAGGGGAACAAAGCAGGAAACCAAGACTTCCTTCAAGGACAGGAGCTCCTTCAGTACCACTTATCCTCTGGACTGTCAAGTCTTGCCTTACTGCTCGTAGCCGGTCAAACACAAAAGAATAAGCCAAGGACAAAGATGTAGTATCTTGCTCATTAACGTTCTCCCAGATTTCCATTAGATATTGAACAGTTTTGAGAAGAGTTGCAGGAGGTCGCAGGTCTCTTGGTGAAGACAGTTCTTTCCCTGCCGCAGGGCGGCTGTACTCTTTAACCATCCTATTAGCGTCAGCAGTAGGATGGCCCCCATGTCTGAAATGTCTACTCTTCAATTGTCCATTCTGCATTTCTAATGGATGGATTCGTCCATGCCGCTCTCGTTCTTTACGCTCGTGTTCTGAACACATATCAAGGCATAAGCCAACTGGGGGAGGTGGAGACACATTCACATTTCTGGACTGCAATTTATAGTCACCTGAGGGGAGAACAGTAAAAATTATTACATGTAATTTTAACCTTTAAGAAATTAGGAGACATAAAGAAATAATACCATCATCTTTTCCTTCTACATAACTTAAGGGAAAAAAGTGTCTCTATTGGTGTTATTGCAAAATCACATTTATATTAACAAACCAGACTTTATAATTCAACAAACAGTACTAAGAGAAAGAATGATGTACAAAAAAATGAGTAAACTATAAAATTCAATCAAATGTCAATTTACTGAGATAAAAAAAATGAATTTGGATTGCTTGGTGTATCTGAAGTGGCTGATCCCCCTAAGAGGGTGTCATCATGGTGTGCAGTACTCTGTAGAAGTACAGAAAGAGGTGCTTATGTCTCCACATCAACACTGATCTCTGCATCATCCATGACCCCATCACTGCCATGAGAATAATGAAATAAAAGAGAACCACGTGCATCACAAGATTACAATGGGTGAGGGGGCTGGTTACAACCCCTGCCAAGTATTTCTTGTTGTCTTTATACCAACAGAGATTTCCACTTCCAGTGACATCTTAGCTAAATAAGTGTCACCAGAAAATTATCACAATGATGCCGATATAAATCAAAACTGTCAAAGAGTCTAGAGCTCCTCCATGCTAGTAAAAATGTCTTTTTGTAACTGATCTGTTAGTGTAGGAAAGCCTACTCTGGCCATAGAAACTATCAAAATAACCAAATCTAAAAAACAAACAAAAAAAGTTTTTTTTTTTTCAACACAGTGGACCACAACACATGGCACAGAATTACTCTGCAATGCACCACAGACGCGTGGCTTAAGTGTGTTGGGTGCCATTTAAAACAAACAGCACTGCAATGTGTGTAGTATGCACTGTGGTAATGCATGCATCACCATAATGTATAGAATTGAAGTTGGCCCTAGGCAAGCATGTACCTGTAAAGAAGAAACAAAGTAGCTACCTCCCGTACTACTCTGATCCTGCAGAACCAAGTCCGCAGTATTGACACAGTATTGACATGGAAGAACCAGCAAGTCCTCAGGGGACCAAGAAGTCTGACAGCTCCAAGTGAATTTGAAAGTTTATTTTTCAAGATCAAAGCAGCATTCAGCAGGTATGTGCTTGCTTGAGTTTTTCAAAATGTTCCAGGACTGCTTTAACCCGTTCACGCCAATGTCACACAAATATGCTGCCTCACAGAACTGTGCTTTTTTCCGTAGGGCTGCATATTTGCATACCTGTCTTTGTGCTGGGACTGCGCTCCCAGCACAAAGACCGGGGGGTTACTGAGAGCCCCGGGTCCCGTTTTAACAATCAGGACCCAGGACTCCAGATTCAGGGTCACATGACCGTTGTGACAGGCTCTGATTGGCTATCACAGTGATCAGTCACTGTACGGCCCACCCCCCTTGTTTGTTTTTTATCTTCTCTCTGAATGGAGAGAGTATAGAGAAAAAAACAAAAACAGTTTGTTAAAAAAATAAAGAAAAAATACCTAGATCAAGGTTTGATCTAGTTCAGTGCCTGGGTTAGTGTTTGGGTCAAGGTCAGGATTTTTTAAAAATTGGTATCAGTGTGTTTTAGGTAAAACAAAAGACAAAATGTGTACTATTGTTTCTGGGCTGTACTGTGGGTACAAACAACAAATAACATACACATATATGGTATCGCTGCAATTGTCAAGAGCTGGAAAATCTATTTTAGGTTGTTCTTTGGTGGTAGGGTATGGTAATAATAAGAAACACACAGCAAAGTTTTTGAGCAAGTTTTCCTTTGATAATAAACAAAAATCAGGAGATATCCATTACCATTTACCACAAAATGAAAGCCCAATTTGTCCTGAAAAAAACACAGTATAATTCAGCTGTGATGATATGTACGGTTTTACTAACATATGTCAAAGTTGCAAGATTGTGCTTAGGTGTTAAGATTTGTTTTACCCCTAGGCGTGAAGGGGTTAATAGCAAAAAGTCAAAAATATAGGTTTTTTTCACAACATTGGCGGTATTATTTTGTTTATAGCGCAAGAAATAAAACCGCACAGGCGCTCAAATACCACCGAAAGAAAGCTCCATTTGTGGGAAAAAAGGACATAAATTTCATTTGGGTGCAGTGTTGCATGACCGTGCAATTGTCAGTTAAAGTAACGCAGCGCTGTATCGCAACAATTGGCCTGGTCAGGAAGTGGGGTAAATCCTCTGGAGGGCAAGTGGTTAATCTACAAAGGTGATGCTTCTATTTACTCCCCCCCCCCCCATTCTGGTCCACCCTGCCACTTCAATATCAGTGTCTGATATTCCAGGAGGCATCACAGCACTGGAGGAGGGGATAATAAACAGACAACCCAGCAAATAACCAACGCCTAGGGGATCCAGTGTTTATCTGTTATATTCCATTGCTGCAGACCAGGTACTGCTCCAGAATGTTCATTTTTGTAATTGGCAGTTGGCTGTCTCTCCCGGGTTCTTGCAGCTCTGCCCGTTGATGACAAAAACAATGAAGACAGTGGCACAGGACTGGTGTCCAGCATCAGACCATAATACACGTGTCAAACACTAGGCCCACAAGCCGAATTCAGACCACCAGGTCATTTCATGTGGCCCTTGCACCTCTCCTGCAGTTGTGGAACCCCCACCTTGTCTCAGCAGTTGGCAGCAGAGAGGAGGACAGAACTCCTCCTGTGCCACTCTGTGCGGCCTCTGCACTCTCTCTTCTCCGCATCCCCTGGTCTCAGCATTCAGCAGACTCTGGCAGCTGACTTCAGCCATTCTCCAGACCCTGCACCTTCTGCTTCCCAGCTCTGCCCCCAGCAGCAGCACAAGGCAAGGGGGGTGCACTGTGATGGGGGGGGGGGGGGGAGACTCTTGATTTCTGATGATGAGGGGGCTCTTGGAACTAATGTTTTTAAAAATTGTATAATAGTTGTACACTTGAATGTCTGCTTTACGTTATTTTTTCTATAACACCCTGTTATAATACAGTTTGCAGGATGTTAAAAAGACACAAGGTGGCAGTTTCCTGCAGCTCAGTGGCACAGACTCTGTTGAATGCTTTGTGGGATTCGTAGGCTGACTGCAGGACTTTGCAGTGAGACAGCGAGCTAACAGATACATTTCGCAGGGGAGCTGGCGCGTGGGTGAAGGTAGATAAATATGAAAGCCTGGGAACCTGGAGACAGGTGGTACAGTTGTGTTCAAAATAATAGCAGTGTGATGAAAAAAGTGAATAAAGCTCAAAATCCTTCTAATAGCTTTTATTTCCATACACACAAATGCATTGGGAACACTACACATTCTATTCCAAATCAAAACATGAAGAAAATATATCAAATTTGTGTTGTTCCTCTAAAAAAAATTGATGAAAAGTGAATATTAGACTGTTCAAAAAAATAGCAGTGTTTGTATTCTTCTTTACAAACTCAAACATTCACTATATAAACTGAAAATGTTTGAAGATTTTGCTTTCCTTTGAATCACTTAATATTTAGTTGTATAAGCACTGTTTCTGAGAACTGCTGTACATCTGTGTTGCATGGAGTCAACCAACTTCTGGCACCTGTGAACAGGTATTCCAGCCCAGGATGATTGGTCTACATTCCACAGTTCTTCTCTATTTCTTGGTTTTGCCTCAGAAACTGCATTTTTGATGTCACCCCACAAGTCTTCTATTGGATTAAGATCCGGGGATTGGGCTGGCCACTCCATAACGTCAATCTTGTTGGTCTGGAACCAAGATGTTGTATGTTTACTGGTGTGTTTGGGGTCGTTGTCTTGTTGGAACACCCATTTCAAGGGCATTTCCTATTCAGCATAAGGCAGCATGACCTCTTCAAGTATTCTGATGTATTCAAACTGATCCATGATCCCTGGTATGCGATAAATAGGCCCAACACCGTAGTATGAGAAACATCCCCATATCATGATGCTTGCGCAACCATGCTTCACTGTCTTCACAGTGTACTGTGGCTTGAATTCAGTGTTTGGGGGTCGTCGGACAAACTATCTCCGGCCACTAGACCCAAAAAGAACAATCTTACTTTCATAAGTCCACAAAATGTTGCGCCAGTTCTCTTTAGGCCAGTCAATGTGCTCTTTGGCAAACTGTAACCTCTTCAGCACGTCTTTTTTTCAACAGTGGGACTTTGCGGGGGCTTTTTTCAGATAGCTTGGCTTCACATAGGCGTCTTCTAATTGTAACAGTACTCACAGGTAACTTTACACCTTCTTTGATCTTCCTGGAGCTGATTGTTGGCTAAGTCCTTGCCATTTTGGCTTTTCTTCTATCCATTCGAATGGTAGTTTTTAGCTTTCTTCCACGTCTTTCAGGTTTTGGTTGCCATTTTAAAGCATTTGCGATCATTTTAGCTGAGCACCCTATCATTTTCTGCACTTCTTTATATGTTTTCCCCTCTTCAATCAACTTTTTAATTAAGGTACGCTGTTCTTCTGAACAATGTCTGGAACGACCCATTTTCCTCAGAATTTTAGAGAGAAATGCACTGTAACCAGCATGTACAACATTTGCTGCCTTCCTTCCTTAAATAAAGGCAATAATTGCCACCTGTTTTTCAAAGAATGAATGACCTCACTAGTAGAACTCCACACTGCTATTATTTTGAACATGCCCCTTTCAATTACACAGAATCAGCAGCATGCATGTCATGACCGTTGGGTCTGTTGGATTTCTATTACTCTACTAAACCTGCTACTAAATTATTTGCCATGTAGAAATATCATTTCTACCAAAAACAGTGATTGATCAGGTTAGTGATGTCTGACTGCTATTATTTTTAAACACAACTGTAAGTGGGGAGAGCTGGAAAGCAGGTGTGAGGAGAAAACTGTTCTGAACACTGGAAGACCAGGCCAGGCCACAGAGTGAGAGAGCAAAGGAAGTGGGAGGAATCATTGACAGCTGACAAGTCTGAAGAACTACCCTGCTGGCTAGTGGTCAGAAGTGCTGCTGTCAGGAGTGATCCCTGATGGAGGAACCGCAAGCCTACTGGGGGCCC